CTATCCTAAAGGAGATCAGTCCTGGGTGTTCATTGGAAGGACAGATGCTGAAGCTGAAACTCCAATACTTTGGCCACCTGATGCAAAGAGCTGATTCCTTGGCAAAGACCCTGATGCTCGGAAAGATTGAGGGCAGTAGGAGAAGGGGACGACAGAGGATGAGATGGTTGGATGGCATCACTGACTCAGTGCACATGAGTTTGGGTAAACTCCGGGAGTTGGTGATGGATAGGGAGGCCTGGAGTGCTGTAGTCCATGGGGTCACAAAGATTCAGACATGACTGAGTGATTGAACTGAACTGAATGCCTCTCCTTGGAGTAATTATATATATATATTTTTCCATTTTAAAGAAGTTTCCCCAGTTTCCCTGATGACCTAACGGATGATTGATCTGATTTAATTTTAGACAGCTGTTGCCAGTTTTCTTGCTCTCCTTTGCTTTAGGCCAGTACATAACTTAAGTGCCACCTAGGGGCTTCCCTGGTGGTCCAGCGATTAAGAATCTGCCTCCCAATGCAAGGGACACGGGTTCAATCCCTGGTCCACGAAATAAGATCCCACATGCTGAGGCGCAACGAGGCCCATGCTTCACAACTCCCGGCCTGTGCTCTAGAGCCTGGACCCCTGGTAAGAGAGGCCATCACGACGAGGAGCCTGCGGACCACGTGACTAGAGAGTGGCCCCCCCGTCGCTGTAACTAGAGAAAACCCCGCGCACAGCAACTAAGACCCAGCACAGCCGTAAATGAACGCATGAAATCCAAATAAAGAAAGAGCCCTCCAAAAAGTGGAATCTGTAAAGATGATGGGGGGTTAAAGGGAAAGCTAGCCTCCATTCACTCCACACCGGTATTACTTTGATTTTTGCAGATAAAATACCTTGATCCAAGGCAATCAAAAGCAAACCAGTAAAAAACAAACAAACAAAATTAGTTTTTCTAGGAGCATTGTGACTTGCTCTGTCTAAACTCTGGTTGGAGAACGGTTTTGCCTTGCAGCAAACATGGAAGCTTGAAATGAAGGTCATTGTCAGCGCCAGCCTTTTAAAAGTGGTGGGAGGAAAACAGCCCCCTCAAAGTACAGAAGCAGCTTTGCGAGGCCCTGCTGTGCAGTCTCAAGGAAAGACACCAGCCTGGCGAGATATTTACACATGGATGAAACCAGAGGTGATCAAATCAGCTAGCACAAAACACTGCCGTTCATGTAGCACCCTGGTCCCGGACCCTCTGCCCAGCAGAAAGGCGTGTTACAGGGGAAGAGCGAGGAGGGGGATCTGAAAGACTCAAATTAAAATCCGAGCTTCGAAAAAAAGACAGCATTAACAACAGAGAAAAGTTAAAGGTGGTGTGAGAGATCCCTGTGGAACCGGAATTCAGCTAGCTCAGACGTCCTTAGTGGATTTCTAGCTGAATCCCCGTAGTTCTAGGACCTTAGTTAGAAATCCCCCTTCTACCTGTCAGCAACTTCAAGCAGTGCTTGCTTTGTGAACCCGGCAAGTAACTTAACCTTTCTTATTCCCAGTTTATCTCTCGAACGGGCATAATATTATCGCCGATCACATAGTGCAGCTAGGAGCAGGTAGGTAATTTAGCACGCTAGGTACAATGCTGAAAAAATAAAATAAGCACAAATCCTCCCAATAATCACTGGTTTTAGATTATTTATGCACATTTGAGCTCTCAAAAAGGTAAATGCTTGAGAATTAAGAGTACGTGTTTTCTTAATTGTAGCTGTACTTGGAGCAAATATAGCTACCCTGACAGGCTACTGAAGGTTTCAGCTCTTTTGAAACTAATAGCAATTTAATTATGACTGACAATCTGCTACTAGCGCAGGAGGTTGCACTGTACAAAAGTTCCACTGTGTTTGATGATGAATGGTAACCCCAGAGTCAAAGCTATTAGCTGGAGTTTTTCTCCCAATCTTGGCATGATTTTAAACATGTGTTTGGGGTGTGTGTGTGTGTGTGTGTGTGCGCGTGTGTGCTTGCATCTGGGCAAGGCATGCATGAGTGGATATACTTAATTTCCTATCTTTAGTAGCTTCTGGGGAGGGACTACACTGAAATAGCAATGCTCATGATGCAGTGATTTTTCTGAGAGGTTGGTATTTCTCCAGTGTTCACATACCTTCTGTTCACATCTCTTCTTCTAGGGTCAGACATAGGTGAGTCTGAAGATATTAAGGAGAACATTTTGTTTTCTGAATCTTTATCTACTGTTGCTAAGATCTTTGCCTACCATTGCTCACCCCCTACTACTGGGGCCAAATCTTGATTTCTTTCTCCTCTTCCTAATCCACCTGACACTCAATCTTGAGTCAGACTACCCAAGCCAGACTTTCTTATCATTCTCCCAAGCAAAATAAAGTACTTCTATCTTCACACAGGTAGAAACAGCTTTTTGATTCATTTTGGTTGCAACTATCAAACGCCAGCTCAACCACAGGTGATATTAACCATAGAGAGTTGAGGGGCCTTCAGGAAAGTCAGGATGAGGGTGGTTTCAATATTCACTATTTGGCTGCACTGGGTCTTGGATGCAGCACACAGGACCCTCACTGCATCATGAGGGACCTTTCATTGTGGCCGTGGACTCTCTGGTTGTGGCATGCAGGCCTAGTTGTTCTGTGCAGTTCCCCAATCAGGGATCAAACCCCCATCCCCTGCACTGGAAGGTGGATTCTTAATCACTAGACCACCAGATGCTTTTGAACTGTGGTGTTGGAGAAGACTCTTGAGAGTCCCTTAGGCTGCAAGGAGATCCAACCAGTCCAACCTAAAGGAGATCAGTCCTGGGTGTTCATTGGAAGGACTGATGCTGAAGCTGAAACTCCAATACTTTGGCCACCTGATGTGAAGAACTAACTCATTGGAAAAGACCCTGATGCTGGGAAAGATTGAAGGTGGGAGGAGAAGGGGATGACAGAGGATGAGATGGTTGGATGGCATCACCAACTTGATGGACATGTGTTTGAGCAAGCTCCAGGAGTTGGTGATGGACAGGGAGGCCTGTTGTGATGCAGTCCATGGGGTTGCAAAGAGTCGGACACAATTGAGCAACTGAATTGAACTGAACTGAACTGAACCAGAGAAGTGCCCAGGATGAGAATTTTCTCCTACTCTGCTGCTTAGACATTCCTAAGCCACATGGGCCCTGGGAATGCTTCATTAGTTTGACTGAATAAGCTGCATGGGAAAAAAAATTTTTTTTTTTTTTTATAAAATCATCTGTTTGGATAGAGAAAGTTGGATAATCATCTGCTCATGTAGTGACATAAAAGCTTCTGATCTGTATAAGGATCACATACATGAAAGCTTGGCAGAATGATGCGTGTGTCTGTGTGCATATATAGACATGTTCATTCATTCATTATGTATGTATATATGTATGCATTGCTCCCCAGAATGTTGCTTGCCTTACTCTCATTTATGGCATCTTCTTACAAAGTAGGAAGCATTGGGTCATTAGACCACAGGGGATGGGGTGAGAATGAACCCAGGACAGCCTAACCACCCCCACCACCATGGACAGGTGCCCTGGCTCCATATTTCAGCTGTTCTGGTTTTTTCCCAAGATGTTGACTTTTTTCTCTTTCCTTAATATGTTGATATATGAATATCTTCATTGCTGTGCCTAAGGATAGAGATTCAAAGTGAGGGATCTATGTTGTAAAAATATGCATTTATAAATATTGGACTCAGTAGTTATCATTTTGCAAGAGAGAAACATGGGTATAAACCTGTTCCATATATTCATTGCCTCTTATCGAAGACATTGTGACTGGCTCCAAGCTGGAAAGCCCTCGACATCTTTCTTTATTGATGTTGAATGGTTCTGAGACACTGGTTCAAGAACAAGAAGTTAAGAATCTCTTTTTTCTCCTATGCTTCCAAAACTGATAAGTGAAAGTGAAAGTTGCTCAGTTGTGTCTCACTCTTGGCAACCCCATGGACTATATAGTCCATGGAATTCTCCAGGTTAGAATACTGGAGTGGGTAGCCTTTCTCTTCTCCAGGGGATCTTCCCAACCCAGGGATCAAACCCATCTCATAAAAACAATTAAGATGATAAAACCTCTAAAACAGAATTAAAAAAAAAAAAAAACAGAATGGCAGGAAGAATATAAATGATGACACAAGTAAATTTCAGAGCAAAAACACATGGCTAAACAAGAAAAGTAAAGAATATTTGTCAACTTCAAGAAGGAAATTGTGAAGAAAAATTCTGAGAGAACACTGCCATCCTGAATTTTAGTGTTAAAAAAAAAATGTTGATGAGTAGAGTAACATTAGTTATGTGGGATGGGCAAAGATGTGGCTGGTATAATAAAAAAGAAGCATTTCTTAGAGTGTACCCACCTAGCCAGTGAATCCCCCTTTTATAGCCGTTTTTATTTTTTTAAAAAAACATTTGAAATTAAATAGCCAATCAATGTGAACTTTGCTATTCTAAGGGGACCTTTTTTTTTTTTTTTCAGAGTAATTAAGATCTCTATACTGTTACTTTCCTTCTCTGAGTCTAAACTACACAGCCAGGAAAGTCTGTTTGTATTCTGTTCAGAAAGTGGGTATTTAAATAGTGCCACTTCTGTAAACACACCCTATTTAAGCTGATTGCATTTGTCACACCTCACCTCCAACTATACCTGTAGCGACTAAATCACCCTTCCTCATCAGATAGCATTCATGTCTTATCAGCATCAAGAGGAAGTGAAGTCACGCCCACTTAACCTCATCTCAGGACTTCCGAGTTTACTCCTGTAGCTGGTGCCTGTCTGTCACAGGGGCCGTGGAACCACGCGTGATCAGGCATGTTACACGTGGCGGTCAGAGCGCAGGTTTGCAGTTTTCTGTCATGCGCGTACCTGAAGCAGAATCCCTGGGAGCAGTGCATGCAGACTCAGCATTGCATCATGCGGTGTTGCTGCATCGTGTCTTGGAGGCGATTACTAGAAGACTTCACTCCTCTTTTTTCTCTCTTTTTTCACATTTCCGGCAGGTACGAAGCACAAAACTATGTTAGAAGCTCGGAACGGAAGCGGGACGATCAAAGCCTTCCCTAGGGTGGGTGTGAAAGGCAAGGGCCCGGTTAACAGGGGAAACACAGGCCTGCAGAACAAGACGTTTCACTGTGAAATCTGCGATGTGCACGTCAACTCGGAGACACAGCTCAAGCAGGTAGGCGGAACCCACTCCTGACGTGGGGACGGGTGGGGTCCCCGGGGCCGCGTGCCTGCCCTGCCCCCTTTCTGCTCTCCCTCTCCCCCCCACCCCTCCATCCACTCAGCTTCTGATCAGGCCCTTTACCTGTGCGTGCGTCAGCTGCTTAAAGGAATACTGAAATGCAACGGCTTCTAACATCCTTCCAAGCTTGTCGGAAGTGAGTGGGTCCGTGCGGGTCTTACAGACGAAGCTTGGGGGGCTGGGGGGCTACAGCAGGCCTCTACCACGGCTCCCACTCGAAAGGGGTGCTTTTCGTTAAGGGTCAGAGTGCGGCATTCCGTGTTTCCTTGTTTAGACATGTACATGCTGCCACTAATTCTACCCCGTGCTCTTCTCTCATGTGGCCACCTTACTCCCTGGTCTGCGCTGCAGTTCTGAATCCTGCAGCCACCTGCTAACGGGATGGGGTCACTTTTACTCTGACAGCCTTCCAGAGGGATCGGGTCTACCGGGCTCCTTGGAAGTCCCAGCCCTCCTACTGTATTGTGTTTTATATGCATACATACCTTCTTGCACTGATTTTTATGCACCCTCGTTATTTATCTTTAGAATTGAAGGGGTTGACATTTGGCTGTACAAATGTGAGGGTAAATATTAGTATGGAAATAAATACGTGCCAGCCTGGCCACCTTGGTTTATTTGCACATAAAATTCCTTCAGACATTTCTTTCCTTTGTAAATGTCCGTAAACTAAGATCTGTGCTCTGATAAGGAGAGAAGCTGGGAAAAAGAAGACCCTGCTATGTGTTAAAAATAGACTGAAATGGCAGCATAAAACTCTCTCTCCCGGAGGCATCCACAACCAAGGACAAAAGGGCATGCTCTTTTATTTCTGTCTTTCTGCAACTTGCATGAAATAATGAATACCCTTCCCCAGGTTAAAGCCACGTTTGTGAGGGTTTGGAGGATGTCTCTCTAACGCTGTCACTTCTCGTTGCCTTCAACAGCACATTAGCAGTCGAAGGCACAAAGACAGAGCCGCCGGGAAGCCCCCGAAGCCCAAGTACAGTCCTTACAACAAGCTGCAGAAGGCAGCGCATCCGCTGGGGGTGAGTGTCGCCTTTGCTTCCAGGTAGAGGGGAGCCTTTCTCGGGGGATTTCATCTGGTCAGTTAACTACAGGAGACAAATGGCAACCCACTCCAGTATCTTTGCCTAGAGAATCCCATGGACAGAGGAGCCTGGCGGGCTACAGTCCATGGGGTCGCAAAGAGTCGGACACGACTGAGCGGCTAATACTGAGGGAGATAAATGGAAGACGCCCAAGTAAAGATGGTTGATTTAAAAGTCCAGCCCCTGTGCCGCCAACAGAATCACTGGTTTCCTGAGTCGGGCGGGCTCCTCGCCGTTAGCTGAGGTCAGACATACTTTCAGCTGGGCTCAGGTTTATACAGAGGATGGGGACGGGAGGAAACCCAAAGTCTCTTGCGTCAGGTAAGTAATCACGGGAAATCTGAACCCGAGGTTAGCGAGTACTGTTAAGAAAGGTTGGTGAGGAACAACTTCTTCCAGCTTCTTTTTAAGATCTCCAAGAGATAAAGCACTGTTGTTTCCCTCAACAGTTCTGGCTGTTAAATAACAGTCTGAAAGGCATGGCTCCTTTAAAAAAAGAAGTCACCTAAGGACCCTATTTAAGGCCTGGGAAATACTTCCTGAGACATGCCCTCTTGTTTTTTACACTGGTACGCGTATTAGTACTGATGTCCCGGCCTAGAATTTTTATAGGATTTTAGGAGAAAACTGTAAACCTCCTGGCATTTTAAGCTAATTATTTATAAGCGTAGGCTTCCCTGATAGCTCAGTTGGTAAAGAATCCGCCTGCAATGCAGGAGACCCTGGTTCGATTCCTGGGCCGGAAAGATCCCCTGGAGAAGGGATAGGCTACCCACTCCAGTATTCTTGGGCTTCCCTTGTGGCTCAGTTGGTAAAGAATCTGCCTGCAATGCATGAGACCTGGGTTCAATCCTTGGGCTGAGAAAAGACCCTGGACAAGGGAAAGGCTACCCACTCTTTATAGGATTTTAGGGGCAATCTGTAAACCTCTTGACATCTTAAGCTAATTATTTATAAGCATAGGGTTTTTTTTCTGGTTGAAGTGACCATAGCTTCCATCTGAGAGATTCAGGGTTCTGCACTGTTTAGCTATAACAAACCATAACTGTGTGTATAAAAAATTAAGATGGAGAACAATTGTTCTACAGTATGTGCTGAATTATGCATTTTGAAATCTGTTTTCTTCAAAATAGATCTTATTAATAATCAGTGCTATTGTGTGCTGCCGACACGTGAAAACACAGTTAAAGGAAAACTGCAATCATCTATTGTGAGACCTCAGAATGAGTTGACCCAATTAATTTAGTAGCATCACCCATTTTTATGCAAATTAAGTCCCTTTGCTCTTTTGCATAGAATTCATTTTAGCTGCTGTGAGAGACTGAACTCTACTCAGAGTGGATGATTCAGCAATACTAGCCACAACCTGAGTGCTATTTCTGACCGGTGGAGATGCCGCTTTCAACCATCAAGTGAATAGTTCTTAAATAAACAGAGAAGTCAAATCGTGTTAATGTTAGCTTCCAAAGCCTCCTGCTTAACTAGCACTGTTACTGTTTCCATAAATGGGAACATTCCCTTCATGAGAACAGCCATCTTACTAACAGTACTAGTTGGAGAATAAACTGGTATTGCAGCGTAGGTGCAGAGAATGGCAAAACATGGCAAAGTTTTTGGGGGAGATCATTTTTTTCCCCTTCTTTAGTGAAACTGGAATTTTATTGTTTTTACATCTCTTGATTGGTACTCACACCTTCCTATGCTACTCTCTTGTCACATCTGCATAATCAGAGTAGCTGACAACATTAATCAATTTCTCTTTAAAAATGTCTATTCCCTGGGACTTGCCTAGCCAGTTCAGTGGTTGAGATTCCACACTTTGACCACAGGGGGTGGGTTTGACTCCTGGTGGGGGAACAAAGATTCCAGATGCCGGCAGCCCACCCAGAAATAAATAAAATAAAATAAACATTTTAAAATGTCCATTCTCTGCTAGTTAAAATGTGTGTAAAGAGTGGAGTAAAAAAATTCCCTATTTTTTCTCAAGATGAATAGTTTCCTCAGGAGGTATATTTATCATGAAAAATAAGATAGCAGAGTACTTTTCTGCACATCCATTCAATATCCTAGATCAAGGCATTTTCTGGGATCTTTCAGTTCTTCCAAAAGGAAAGATGTTCTACAGTTTCCATTATTCTTTTAAAATTTGTTTTATTGACATATAGTTGATGTACAATTCTGTGTTAATTTCTGCTGTACAGAAGTGATTCAGTTATACATACATAGTATTTATACATATTCAGTTATACATATATAATATATAATAACAGCATTGTGTATATATATATATTATATATATTATATATATATTGGGTTGGCTAAAATGTTCAGGCTTTCCATAGATGTTCTGTGTGTGTATATATATATATATATATATATATAAAATATATATATTGGGTTGGTAAAAAATTTGATTAGGTTTTCCGTAAGATGTTCTGTATGTGTGTGTGTGTGTATATATATATATATATACATGTATGTATATATATATAACATAAGCTAAAATAATAAGCTAAAAAGTTTATTCAGATTTTGCATAAGATGATCTGTGAGTATATATATATTATATATAACATATATAATATATACATATTGGGTTGGCTAAAAAGTTTGTTCAGGCTTTCCATAAGATGCTCTGTGTGTGTGTGTGTGTGTGTATATATATATATATATATATATATATATAAAATATATACACTGGATTGGCTAAGAAGCGTGTTCAGGCTTTGCATAAGATGCTCTGTACATATATATAATATATACACACTGGGTTGACTGAGAAGCGTGTTCAGGCTTTCCATAAGATGCTCTGTACATACATATCGGGGCCCATGCGCAGCGCGCACGCGCCGGTGCTCTTCGCGCCGTACTGAGCGCGGGCGGACTGCAGTGACTCACAGGCCGCACGCCGAAAGAGAACTATGCAGCGTTTATTTATAGTCTAAAGTATGTCTGAAGAGCCAGGACTTTTGATAGTGAACCGAAAAGACTATTAAAAAGCAAAGACGAAGTAAAAAGAGGGAGGTCTGGGGCGGGCGGGAGGGGTGGTACTGTCTCCAAATTAAAGCATTCCTCTTGAACACTGAGTGTTTTAGAAGTGATCTCCAGCCTTGACTTGTAGTGTACCCAGAACCTCGGAAGCCTTTGTGACACGCCTTTCGGGCACCTGTTCCCCTGCATTGTCTTTCCTGCTTTATGAGACAACTATACATTGTCTGAGGGCATTAACTGGTTCCAGTGTGTATATAAATACTCATTTGCTCTGTAGATTAAAATAATGCAAAAAAAGAAAAAGAAAAAAAACCACAAAAAGCAAAAGCAACACTGTGAATAGTAGTACCCGTGGTCCTCTTGCTCTGACAGCAATTCCTGGGTGTTCGTCCCAACTGAGGTAGATACCGTAGACGTCTGTAAAACAGTAGTGCTGTGTCTCAGTCTACGCCACTAGGTTCTCGAGAATTGCGAAAGGTAGAATGAACGACTGTTTCCTGCCGGTAAGCAGTCAGAAGATAAACGACACCATCTGCCGTGGTGAAGGTCCCCAGCCCACCCTCTCCCGTCCTGCCCACCGTGGGGAGAGGACTTTCAGTCCAGAGCAGAAGAATAGGGCTGACTCAGAATGGAGGAGGAAGAGACTTTAATAAAAAGAGCTTCTTACAGAGTGCTTTCCCCCACACTAAGGCATTGTTGCTGGAAACAGGAAGTGTTTTCCAAGTGCTTATATCCGAAAACAGGTAAACCCGTGCATCTTGGGGGTCCAGAAAGAAACCAGTACAAGTATTCCGTTTCGAGGACGAGGGACAGTCCTAACCTAGCATGATAATGCAAACTACAGATTTCTCATGTTAGTGCATATCCACTGAAAACAAAGAATATTACGCCTCTGCAATAGCCCCGTTATATCACACCAGTAGGGCTGTCTCTTAGGCAGAGTTTTCTGCTTTGACTATGATGGTAGATATTAGCTGTTGTTGTTGGGTTTTTTTTTTAATTTCCTACTGACATGATATAAACAAGTAATATATATATATTTAAATATTAGAAAAAAACAAAGAAAAATGAACCTGCATTCATTTCAGACCAGGGGTATAGAGTTAAAAAATACTGTTAAGTTGCACTTGGCCATCATTTCTCTAGTGGAATTGTGAAATACTAACAGCCTTCAATATTCACCATAAGGCTAAAAGGAGTTGATGTTTTACCTTTAAAACAAGATTTATCAGGGGTATATATAAATATATGTATATTGTATATATGTTAGAAAGATTAAGAGTATAAGTTATAAAAAGAAAATCTATATAAAATAATTATATATCCATCCCGTGTTACATGTTATCATTAAGTTGGTAACAAATGGCATAAAAATAGCTGTGCCTTTAATTTGTGGTAAAGGCGATTTGCTTTTTCCCATAGAAAGCTAACATATACCTGTCACCTATGGTGGGGTTTGATGCAGCCGCTCTGTTGCATTAATAAGAATAATGACACTCAAACTTCAAACAATGGAAACATGTACAAATCCACTCTACCAGATTTAGGTTTAGAGAAAAAAAAAATATTTTTGAAAAGGTTTTGTAGAGAACTATTTAAAAATATACAGAAAGGCTGGGTATGGCCTTCCTGGAATTGCTCTTATCTAAAATGTAGTAGACTTTTGAGAGGTCTGAAGATGCAAAGTGAAACCATTAGAGAGATGGGTATTCAGCATTTGTCATTTTGTATTTAAGAAACACCCGTAGCGTCCTTGGTGCTCAACATTAAACATGGTCTTTGGAGTTCTTCTCTGCCACCCAGCTGAAGACATCTGTCATGTAAACACATCTTTAAAGCAGTTGACTTTGTATATCTTTTGTTAAACAACTGACCAAAAGCAAATAGAAAGAAAGGAGGGAAGGAAGGATAGAAAGGGAAAGGAGAAAAGAGACAATGCTCCATCAGCCTTTGGTGGAAAGGAGAAAAGAGACAATGCTCCATCAGCCTTTGGTAAAAGGGATTTCGAACCATATCACTTCTGCCTGAACATGTTGACTAGGACTGGAGTCTGTTTTGAGAGCGTCTGGTGATAATGCGTTTGCCAGCACCTCTGCTTTCTGGTCTTAGCGAGCATTCCCTTTGTTCCACCCTCAGACCCCCCTGTCCAGCCAGGTAGAGAGTTAGCTCATGCGTTTTGTTCTCTGGGTCTGTCCGTGTCTTGTGTGACCAGTTTTGGACAGTCTTGACCTTTAGATTCTGCTTTGTCAGATATTTTCACTGTTCACGCTGTCAGCCCGAACCCCTGCCCAGCAGCACTCACGCCTCTTAGAGCCTCTCCTGCTGGGGAA